CAATGGATGATTGGATCGGTTCGGTTCCCCTAACATCCAATGGATGTTAACCGATGAACAACCCTAAGTGTTTCGTCAAACACCTTTAGAACTCTTCGTCTATTAATCTCTCGCGAATTCCGAACTGTTTTAATTATCTTTTGAGAGGTGTACAGGTACAAAAAACTCATCAGAAACAGATATTAGAAATAAATCAACTGTTTGTCATCTCCTCGATTATTAAACTCTTCAGTTCATCATACTGTTTGTTTTAAGTGTGAAAAGTGTTTAAAATAAAAAAAAATGTGTCAAGTAACCACCCACCAACGTTTCCCTTACACGTGGTAGCAGAACGGGTGCTTAAAAAGATACACTCGGACCAGAAAAACCCGTGCTCAAAAATATTTTCTTCTTTCGCCTGTCGACGAGGCTGTAAAAAGAGAGAAAGGGGCGGAGCGTTTTCTCTGTAATCCTCAACCGTTCGGACCTTTTGTTTGATTCCTTGCTTCTCTCATGGTACAATCCTCTTTCCGTGATTGTGGACTCGTACAAGGATATTGAGTAGACGGTTGATGTACCAGACTCGACCCTATTATTCTTCAATTTCAAAAAAAAAATGGATTTAAGACTTTTCAGCATTTTTAAAACTGACACGATATTATAATTTGGTCATTGAATGATCTGTCTCCATATGACCACCTCTGATAACCATCGAGAAATTTGTATTTTAGGTGGAACATTTTGAACGACACGTTCATTGTAATAGTTGTAAAACGTATAAGATCATTGAAATGAGAACTGTGTGCTAGCAAAACTTAGGAGCTGTTTGTTTCATGCTGTAGAATGGAAATGGGAATAAATTTTATTCCTCGCGGTTTAGTCTGGAATGAAAATTTGGGCTTCTTAAGGAATGAGCTCATTATATTATATAATACCAAGCAAAATTTTTTTTTTTCCATTGATTACTGCTTAATACCTCTAATCAAACATCTGATTAACTTATGGTGACAAAGAACTTCTACTCGTAAACTGTATATCAATAGACTGTTTCAGAAGATGCTTGAAATCATCTGAATTTCAAAGCAGTAATTTTTTGACAGTTGTTGAATTGTTTGGTGCAAAGTGATTAAGTGGTCAAAATGATTAAGAGACACTCATGATATAGTGCAAAATGAAATATATTTTTTTGGTAATTATTTACAATGAAATTTGGGCACTGAATGGTTAAGGGAGACTCATGAAATAATATCATTTAGGGGGTTTTATAACCATTAAGACTTTTTTATCTAACAAAATTTACTTTTTAACAATTCATATGTTACATTTTAATATAACTATTAAAAGATAAACAAACAATCATTTTATATTGCTCCTAACGAATAAGAGAATGAACGAGTTGATTATGTGTAAAACCGCACATAATTTAGGAAATTCTAAACGAAGGTCTGTTCAATGGTATTGGAAAGAATAAAATTATTAAATATGTTTAATAAAAAATAAAATACTAAAAGAGTACTCGTGTAATGTAGCGATATATATATATATATATATATATATATATCGATTTTAATGTTTCGTTTTATTCGGTTTCTGTAGATGTTATAGTACGGTTTATGTAGTTTGAGAAATATAAATTTAAAGATATAATAAAATATTGAAAATAAATATATCGATATTTGTATCAAATTAATTAATTTTTTTTTTTTTGTAATTTCTTTAATTTAATTTTTTATTTTAATTTAATTTAGATTTAATAATATATTATTTTATTAGGATGATAGTTAAGTATTATGTTAGGAATTCAATAATTATCCTGATTATATTTTAGATTTTTTATATTTAAAATAAAATATTTATTTTATATTTGATTATGTTTATCGGCAGTTAATTATACAAATTTAAACATGAAGCTTTAATAAGTTGTAATTACACACGATTTATTTGTAACATTGAATTTTAAGTAATATGCATCAATAAACAGTACTTCGTGCATAAAAAATAGTTTTCAAAAGTTTTTGTCAAACGCTTTATAATATAGTATAGATAATTACACTAAAATAGTAATAAAAAAAAACATTTTTATTATTTTTACCACAACTTCTTTGGCTCGTCCTTAACTTTTGGTGTTGGGAGTTTGAGGGGTCGTTTACTAAACAGTTACATGATAAAAGCTTATCTTATTGGGTGAATAACTAAATATGATAAGTACCAATGATCTTACTCAATAAGTGGCATAGAAAAGATCGAGAATCTTACCCGATAAATGAGAGAAAATACTCTTACCTGATAAACATTTACTGAATAAAATATAATTACCAACAATCCATTTTAATAACCAAGAATGTTATCTAATAAGGTAAGTGAGTGTTATAGTAAATACATATCCAGCCAAGTAGTCAGGTAAATGGACCCTGAATTTGCCGACAAATAGATATTTATGCTCATATTTTATAACAATTTTTGCGTTAATTTTAGCACTGAAATTAATAAAAGTGATAACTACAAATTAATGATTAAAATAGAGAACTTTTGAGTTCGACGTGACAAAAAGGTGTAATTATCGATGTGTAACGTAGTTTTATTTGACAAGACATAAATCGTTTTCACGTTAAATCAATTAAACTACATGAAAATATGTATTAGCAAAAAAAATTCAAAATACATAATAAGTAATTATATAAAAAAAAATTGTTTGGAAGTTGCTGAATGGTTTTATATAGAATGATTAAGAAGCTTTGATGATATAGTGCAAAATGAAATATAATTGTTTGGTAATTATTTACAACGAAATTAGAGCGCTGAATGATTAAGGGAGAACCATAATACAAATTCATTCAAATGGTTTTTAGAATTATTAAGAGACAGATTTTTTTTTTGCCAAATAAGATTCATCTTTTAACGATTCAGAGGTTGTCTCTTAATAGAACTATTAACAGATAAAACAAACGACCCTTTAGTTCGTTAGAAAAAAAAAAGCAGGGTTTAACAACCATACTGGAAAAAAAAAAAAAAAAACGGGTTTGAAGTTAGATTCGTTACAATGAAATACTATTTTATAGATTTAATTTATAAAATCAAAAATAAAGTATATTATTTAAACACGTTGTAATAAGTTTATAGGACGTTTTTAGGTGTTATAAGTGTCCTAAAAACTTGTTAAAACGTTCATGTAAACTTATTATAACGTTTTTAAATAAAACACATTATTTTTTTGGATTATAAATTAGTCTTATAAAACAGTATATTAGAACGCTTAGAATTTGTTGGCATCCTATAAACCTAATTTTGTTATAATGACGTGTAAACACTTATAGATATGACGTTTTTTTGTTTACTTATATAAACTTAAGTTTTATAGAACATCTTAATAAAATGCTCACACATTTTAAACGTTATATAAACACAATTTTATTATAGTGTATATGTTTAATATCTTACCTAAATAATGACCGGAAAAATTATTTTGTTGATTAAGTCAAAGACCTTCCAGCCTAGTGGTAAAGGCTTGGGCATGACATAGTCATGAACCCGAGTTCGAGCCCTGGAAGGGGAGTGTTGGCGACATTTAAGAGGGGCCATGTTTAGCATCCAAATTTGTCGGGGATTAGTCGGGCTTTGGCCCGGACACCCTTACAAAAAAATTATTTTGTTAAACAACAACGATTATGACCTAGCGGTTGAGGCCTAGGGGATATATGGTGGAATATCTTATATGTCTTGAGTTCAATTACAAACGTCCATAATAATTATGACCACTGAGCAGGGACGGAGCTAGGCATTTTTTGTAGTGGCACGTGTCACCGTTTCGTTAATCCGTCATAGTGTAAAAAATTAATAGGGTCGTGAAAAGTGTCACCGTATCAATTCGTTGTGTGTCAACATATATATTTTGAAACTACAACGATGACACAAGTTTTTCTTGGTAAAGTTGGTTTGGAAGACTTTTCTTCCATCCCAACCCTAAGTTTGAAGTTCGTTAGTGTCTTTTTCTTTATTTTTTAGCTTTTAGTTTTAGATTTATTATGTTTTTGAAAAAAAAATTGTAATATAAAACTTGAACACAATATCTCACATATGAAAAATAATGAACTAGCTAACAGACTAATGATGATTTTATGAAAAATATCCATATATTTGTTTCTTATAGTCAAATTATTTATACTAAACCACAAGGGTGGTGTCTAATTGGTTTGAGCTTGTCTCCAAATGTCAAAAGTACTAGGAGGTTACAGGTTCAAATCCAATGAGAAATAAAAATCCCTTTGTGGCCACGGATGTTCAAATGCGGTGACTTCGGGCTATCTGCAAAGCAGGTGGTCGCCCTGGGATTAGTCAGCTTGCATAGCGGGTTGGATATCGAAGTTAATCAAAAAAAATTATTTATACTATATTATAAAACATGTAACATAAACTTTTAAAAACCATTTTTTATACATGAAATACTGGTTATTGATGCATATTACTAATAAATTATTTCGTTATTAACTCTAAATTAAATTATAATAAAAAAATTAAATTAAAGAAATTACACTAAAAAACTAAAACTTTTATATGTTTTTTTTAAATTTTATGATATTTTTATATTTATATTTTATTTAAAAATAAAAACATTATCGATTTCTCAAAATCACATAAAATTATATTATAACATTAATAAAAACAAAATAAAATAAAATATTAAAATCAAAATATATTATACATCTCATTACATTATTATACGAGTACTCTTTCGATATCTAATTACAAATGGAGCCGTTAAGGTAGAGCGTAGAGTAGCAAATACTTTCCCTCCAAACCTCAAAGGCCTTGTCATGAATAAATTAAGTGGGTCCCATCTCTGTGCATGCATTCACGTGCTCCTGTTATCTCTTTGCCGTTTATTACACCATCATATGATCAATCCAAGGACCCCCCCCTCCCTACCCTCCTTCTCCTATCTATCTACATAGGATTCTTCAACACACTCATTCCCACGTGCCAACACACAGTCCCACGTGTGTGGTTGACACGTGCACGTGACTTGCACGTGCTTCCCACTGATTGGGTTCTACATGATTCCCCCCAAAATTGAATGAGTTTATGATAAGAGAAAGAACAACTATGGCCTACCCTTCTTTACTGTCACACAAGACAAAAGTCTTTGATGAAACCATGACAATGATAGGATAGAAAGAGAGAGAAAGAGAGAGAAATTTACACATAGTGACTGTGTTAGTGTGTGTAATAAAAGTGATTGAAAAAAGGATTTGGCTTTCAAGAAAGAAAGAAAAGAAAAGAACCCATCTTTTTTTACACACAGTGAGTGTGTTCTACGTGTCAAAAGAGTGATTTTGTGAGTAAAGAAAAGTGCGTGTTTTTGTTTGAGTTCAAAATCTTCCTCTTCTTCTTCACTTGCCATTATATGCCACCAATTTTAACTTCTACTTCTGATCTAAATCTACACACACTTAGTGTGTTTCTGTGTGTTAAGTGTGAGTGAGAGGAGGGTTTTTTGTTGTTTTGCTTTCCAAGATCTCTTTACACACAAAGAGTGTGTGTGTGTGTGTGTAAAAGAGAGTGATCAGAAAAAGGGTTTCTGTTGTGTTGTTCTTCAGAATCATTGCTTTGTATACACACAGTATACAAAGTTAGATGTGTGTTAAAAAGGGTAGTGATTTCATTGAAAAAGAAAAGGGTTTTTTTGCCTCATGTGATGTTCTAGCTTCAAGATCGTTTCTTTTACACAAAGTTAGTGTGTGTAACTATGTGCTAAAAGTAAGTGGTTTTAGCAAGTAATTAGAAAAAGGGTTTTAATTTTCTTGTGTTCTTCATCATTTCTTTTCACTTTCACACACAGTGAACGTGTTTTCTGTGTGTGTGTGTGTTGCAAGGAATTCAAGAAAAGGGTTGGTATCTCTTTGTGGGGGTTTTCAAGATTTCTTTCTACACACAGCAAACGTGTTTTCTCTGTGTGTGTGTTGCAAGGAATTCAAGAATCTCTTGTGGGGTTTTCAAGATTTCTTTCTACACAGAGTGAGAGTGTTTCTATGTGTTAATTAGAAGTGGGCACTTCAAAACAAGAGTTGATTCTCTTGTGTTCTTCAAGAAAACCTTCATTTAATTTCACAGAGTAAAAGTGTGTTTGTGTGTGCTAAAAGTGTGTGATTACATCAATTTTAGGGTTCAAGACTATGTTTGATGGAGTCCCAGTTGAGCAATTTCACCAATTCATCTCCACACCCTCATCAAGAATCCCTTCAAATTCTTCTTCTTTGATCCAAACCCCACCAATTTCAACTTCAACAAACCTCAATTTTCTATCTTTTGATCCTCTTTTATTCCCTCCACCACTTCCTACTCATCAATCCCTTTTTCAAGCCCAACATTTTCTTCGAACACCGACACGAGATCAATTCAATGGTACCCACGACGACGCCACAGGCAAACTAGATCAAGAAATCGATCTAGGGATAGATATAAACGACTCGTGGTCAAATGATGAAGTTATTCAACTCTTGAGGATCAAATCGAGTTCGGAGAATTGGTTTCACGATTTCACTTGGGATCATGTTTCCAGGTACGTAATCATTGTCGTTAATTGTTCCTAGTTTTCTCGATAATGAATCGTGTTTTTAAGCCCTTTGGCTTGTTTGGTCTATATGATTAACTCAAGATTAATTAGGAATAATTAAGTGAATTAATTGTTTTCCGCACGTAATCGTCGTAATACATAGTGTTTTCCCTATTTACGATCATTAGCCCACATGTAATTATGCGTACAATTGGGCTAAAGGTTAAAACAACGACCTCTTATACCGTATCAAATGAAGTTCATTTCAATATTCGATCAACAACTACGAAGTATATATATATACATATATATATATATACATATGTATATACATATATATATATATACATATGTATATATATATATCTATATGTATATATAGACTTGGGATCATGTGAGACCAACGGTTTTTCGTGAGACCCATAAGACCAATTTTCAACCTTTGGATTAGATCTATAATCTGACAAAATATAAACATTCATAAACACCACGAGATTTCTTAATAATTACCAAATTGCCATCGTGCAATTTAGACCGTTAGATTATTAGCTTATAAAGTTGATCAATGAACGTAAATTGGTCTTACGGGTCTCACGAAAAACCTTTGGTCTCACGTGAACTCAACCCTATATATATATATATATATATATATATATATATATATATATATGTATGTATGTATGTATAATATAGTGACCAAGTAGATTTGTATATACGGGTAATGATAAGATCACAAGTGTTAGGATTACAAACCAAATCAAAGTGTCTTAAAACTTGTGGTTAATTATATCAATGACCAAAATATCTATACATACACTTACCTTATATCTATATGTCATGTTTTAGAAGAACTAGGGTTTTGATTTTTTTTTAAGTATATAATATTTATATACGACAAGTGCAACAAATAAACCCACACACCCTCCTCACATATGGTGAGGTTTGAACCTCTGACATTCTAGAAGGCCAAGGGCTACGATACCGCTAGGCCAAAAGCCCTTTGGTAACTAGGGTTTTGACTTGTCAGGGTTATATGTTCTCAGTAATTAAGTCGTCTATAAAGCTTGTAACCCGAGTCTTTAATACATTGCTACAAGTTTAAAGACTCGGGTCATCAACAATAGAGGAAATTGTAATTACTTTTAGTACAATAAGATCGGCCTAACACAACGTGTAATTAATATATCTAAATGTCTTATCATAGGCTACGTACTTGTGGTACTTGAGTTTATAAGGACCAAAAATATTATATATAGTAAATTGATATAGGATGATTTTGGACTTCTTTACAAGTTTTTTATGACACTTTTGAAATAAAACGTAATATTAGTATATGATATTATATAATTTGAGAAAGAATGTTTTGTAGGACATTTTATTTCAAAAATGTCCAAAAACGTCCTATCAGTTTATTCTAACAATTTTAACTTATGACGGATAATTATTTGGTTTTATTAACACAACTCCTATAAAAGTGGTCCATTATTATTAGACATATCTATAAAGTCGAATTTGTGATGGTGTTTTAGAACCGTGAAGAGAGAGAATGATCAGAAGATCCACACACAGACATATACATATATATATATATATATATATATATGTCTGTGTGTATAGAGAGAGAGAGAGATGAGTTCATTTACAAACCAAATCATTAATACAGATTATACAAACCAATCTCAATCGTTTTCATCTACTATAATAAAGTGTTGGTTATAAAAAATAAACTCCAAGATTTTTTCATAATTATCCGGATCATAGTAAACAAACTCTCATCATTTCAATGAAATTCTCAATTGATTGATTTGTACTCATGATTGGGTTTGTAAATGAAGCCATATATATAGAGAGAGAGAGAGAGAGGAGCAATCAAATGAAAACCACCATCATTTGTACAAACCGTACAAACCACCATCATACGTCGATTTCATTTTTTAATCTTATGAAAAAAATTATGAAATTGTTTAATCTTGTGAAATTGTTTCATATAATATTTTTTTTGATGAATTTGTTTCATATATGGTTATGAAATTGTTTCATATAATATTTAATGAAATTTTAATGAAACTGTTTCATGTATTTCTCTAAAATTAAAATAATGAAGATGATAATATCCATGATTAACACCCTCAACAATAAAAATGGTTAATCAAACTCTCATAATTACAAAAAAATGAACAAAATAAAAAATTATGATTGGTTGAATATGGTTTTCACGGTTTGTACAAATTGAGTAGTTTTTTTTTTAACGCTCCTCTATATATAGATATATAGACACACACACACATATATGTAGTGTATGTATATTGGATGCTTATGGATTTTTGGTATATATATTGGAGCTACAGGAAGCTAGCAGAGATGGGGTACAAAAGGAGTGCAGAAAAATGCAAAGAGAAGTTTGAAGAAGAAACTTGCAGAAGTTTCAGTAGTACCATTGGGTACAACAAGAACAGTAGCAGGTACTTGATCAGTGAAGAGCTTGATGAACATCTCTACAATCCTCATCATGATCATCAAAACACTCACCATGTCCCCATTGATCAAACACCTCATGAAGAAACTGTCGATGATCACCAAGATCAACCACCACAAGTAGCACTAGATGGTCAAAAGATAGGAGATGATGATGATCAAAATCATGAGGCCCAGGGGCAAAAAGGTCATTTTGAAAAGGACCCAGATGAGATCATGGTACAAACAGCTGATGAAGATGATACTGTGGTAGGAGTGAACAAAAGCAAGAAAAGAAAAAGAAAGCACAAGAAATTCAAGATGGTCAAAGGGTTGTGTGTTGACATGGTGCAGAAGATGATGGCTCAGCAAGAGGAAATGCACAAAAGGCTACTCGAAGACATGGCGAATCGCGAGAAGGAGAAGATCGAGAGAGAAGAAGCTTGGAGGAAGGAAGAAATCGAAAGGGTAAAAGTGGAAATTCACATCAGAGAACATGAACAAGAGATGGCAAGAGATAGGCAGTCTACCATCACTGAGTTCCTCAACAAGATCACTTCTTTTGACCAAAAGATTCAACTCCCTCTTGATATCAACTTACAAGACCTTCAAACTAATGTAACACACATTGACAAGCCCATACCCTTTTATGAAATTACCGAAATACCCTCTTCCGAGAAGATCACCGAAGACCATAATCAAGACAAGCCAACAACAAAAGATGACATTGGAAAAAGATGGCCAAGAGATGAAGTGTTGGCATTGATAAACATAAGGAGCAATGTGAACAATGGCATTGGTGGTAATAGTGAAGAACACCAAGGGTTAATTGGTTATAACAAGAGCGGGGGCGGCGGCGGCGGTGGTGGTTCGTTGTGGGAGAGGATATCACAAGGGATGTTAGAGTTGGGATACATAAGAAGTGCAAAAAGGTGTAAAGAGAAATGGGAGAATATAAACAAGTACTTCAGGAAAACAAAAGATGCAAACAAGAAGAGATCTTTGGATTCAAGAACTTGTCCTTATTACCATCAATTAAGCAAATTGTACAACCAAGAGAAGCAAGTGTCATCGTCCCACTCCGCCGGTTTATCCTCCGATGAGCCGGAAAAATGTCCGACGACCGAAATCATGCCGGAAAACTAATGGGGTTCGCCGGAGATCAATGTTATATGTGATCATGAGGTTTATTATATTGTTCATGGAGAGGCTTAATAAGTAGACTTTGTTGATGTTGTTTTTATGCGTTTTTATTTAGTACATTTTTTATTTTCCATAATGTTAAATTGGGTAATAACATTTTTGTTTAGATTATTTGTCGTATCGACGTTGTGGAAATCATTCTGAATCTTAAAAGTACATATGTTTTATTTTGGTGTTCGTTTTTTAAGTTATTTAAAACTGAGTTGGAATCTGTTGGTAATATTGCTTGCTCAAACCTGAAAAAACGAGTCAAACCGAAGTACTTTGTCTTGTTTGACCTAGTTCGTCTTCATATTTATCGTCGATTGGTTTTAGAAACTTCAAATTGAGGAAACTTGATCTCAGTGATGATTTGTAAAATCAAATTAATCTACGTTGTTAAATGTATCATGTGTGTATATGGAATGATTCAAATGAGAACACTTATGTTACGAAAACGTAATAATAACATTTTACTATAATCCATCGCATGTGATATTAATTTAGAGATGCATGTGACATCTGGCTCGACCTAGGTATTAGGCCAAGTCGTCTGCACATCACTAGGTCCCCCACGTGTATTATCTCATGTGATAAATGTGTTCTCACATTTTCATAAAATGAAGATGTTTTTATTTGAATCTATATATATATATATATATATATATAGAGAGAGAGAGAGAGAGAGAGAGAGAGAGAGAAGCTCAAGTGCAAACCGATTTTCAATTGTGACCAAGGGAAAGGAATGCATGACACATGTCCCAGTGACCACATTCAATATGAATAACGAAAATGAGCGTTCATGAACTATTCATGATGAATGATACAACATTAATAATTCAAGATCATGATTCATGTTAAAATTGATTCTCTATTCATTATGAATAATAGACATTCATCATGATGAATAACCCGTAAAGTTGTGAGAGCGCACTCCTTTATCTCCCGTTTACAATAGAAAATCAGTTTTCAATTGAACTCCCCTCCCCCCCCCCCCCNTATATATATATATATACACACACACTTACATACATAGGGTTGGGTTCATGTGAGACCAGTCTGTTTTCGTGAAACCCGTGAGACCACATTTTTACACTTGAAACTTCACAGCAAAAACACTGTGAAGGTTTAAAAAAGTCGAACCTTCACAACAAAAACACTGTGAAGGTTACCTTCACAGCATTTTACTGTGAAGTTTCAAGTGTAAAAAGGTGGTCTCACGGGTCTCACGAAAACAGGCTAGTCTCACGTGATCCCAAGTCTACATACATATATATATACATATACTAGGTTCCACCCCGTGTATTATACATGGTATTTTAAATGAGAAAAACTTTGGACATTAACTCTGAAAGAAAACTCTGAACATATACTCTGAAACATAAGAATTCAGAGTTCTATTATTAGGCTGAAAAATTACTTTGGACTTAACTCTGAATAAGAGGAATTCAAAGTTGTCTTCTAAGTATATAAATTATCTACGAGCATAACTCTGAGTCACAAGAATTTTGACTTTTTATAACTCAAAAACGTAACTCTGAACTTTAACTTTGAATAGGAGTTTAGAGTTGTATTCTAAGTTTGGGAATAAACTATATAATTAAGTTTGGAACAGAACAATTCATAGTTATGTTGTAAGTCTGAGAAATAACCAATATATTCTGACTTCATGTTGGTGATTTGTATCACTAATGTCATTTAAGTGTAATGAGATTAAATTGTTTACCAATGTAATCATGATAAATATCGAACAGGTAAGGCAGGTGCAAAGTGCACACTTGTTTGAGTTTATTTTGATTTAGGGGCGAAGCCCCTAACGAAAGGGGTCCGAGGGCAGCGCCCCCGATGGCGGGGTCCAAGGGGCAGAGCCCCTGGCTGGGGTCGAGGTGGAGGCCACTTCAGACTTAAATTCAGCTTAAACCGAATTTGAAATTTTAAACCCGGTTTTGATGACTACTCTAGAATTAAAATCAGACTTATTATTAAATTCATAATTTTTCCAGAGTTATGTTGTAAGTCTGGAGGCCACTTCAGACTTAAATTCAGCTTAAACCATGAAAACAGAAAAATAAACATGTAGAGGGACATATGTCACTTAAATAGACCTATTTGAATCGTAATTGAAAATTGTGTCTAGATACAGGTTTAGGCGGGAAAAATTAATAACCGCCGCATAGAAACATAACACGTGTCCCCAAAGTTACTTATTTATTAAGTATATAGATATGTATTTATTTCTAAAATATATGGATTGATAAGGAGGCCTTTCATTGGACCCAATTTGAAGTTGACCCTTGAACTCAATAACAACATACTTAGTACTTAGTACATATACTCTCATTTTTGTCCATGGGCTTTTTCTGTACCTTCTAAACACAAGATGAGCTTTTTCTCTACCTTCTAAACACAAGATGGGCTTTTTGGTAATAACACAAATTACAAAAGGGTATAATTTTTTGCCCAATTTCTTGTTTTCGATTTAAAATTAAAAATCCAAATAATTCATATGATAAAATATCATTTTTATTCCAAAAAAAATGAGTTTTTTTTTAGAAGGCATCAAATATATATTAGAAAAACAGAACCACATCATACAAACTCAACCCACAAATATGCAACAATCTATGTATTTAGTTGCGTAATATATAAAATGACGTCATTAATTAACTAAATTATCATAAATCCGTCACAAAAGAATTAAACACACACACATATATATATGGATTGGGTTTACGTGAGACCAGTTTGTTTTCATGAGACAATTTTTCTACACTTAAAATTTCACAGCAAAACATTGTGAAGATAAGAAAAAGACGAACCTTCACAGTAAAAACACTGTGAGTGTTGGCGACATTTAAGTGGGGCCATGTTTAGCCTCTAAATTTGCCGGGGATTAGTCGGGCTTTGGCCCGGACACCCTTACAAAAAAAAAAAACACTGTGAGTGTTACTCTTTACAACGTTTTGCTGTAAAGTTTCAAGTATAAAAAAGTGGTCTCACGAAAACAGGTTGATATCACGTGATCCCAATATATATATATATATATATATACATCATTTTGAGAACCCAATTTTCGATCCAACAGAATACGTATAACAAAAATGAAATTGATTAATGATTTGGTTTTCTAAAATGAAAAGTTGTATAATTTGATCATACAAAATAAGAAACGAATGCAAAATAAGATTCATCTTTGTCAATTTACACACGTATTTACAATCAGAAAATCTACAATTCTAGAACTCAGATATATTAAATACTTAAATTTATTCCAAAAAATACACATTCAGTAGAAAACCGAAAAACGTTGATATTTGTATCTTGGACATGCACACTTCACTTCAAAACACTACAACAAATAGAAACAAGTGTAGTTGATTAGGTTTAGTCGAACGCAAACTTGATCAGGGTTATTACGTTATCTTATCCATTTAAAATAAAAATAATTCTTTTTCCATATCCATTAAGATAACGGATAACGTAACTTATATAAGAGAAAATTGCATTAAAAAATACCATACTTTAACTTGATTCATATTTTGAATAACGTACTTACAAAACTTTTATTTTAATACCTAAGATGAAAAATTTTAAACATTTAAGTACCTGGATAACTGGTTGAAGACTAATTTTAAATTTTAAAAAAAAAAACATGTCACTAACTAGGGGTGCCCAAAAACCGACCAACCCGATCAACCCAACCCAACTCAACCCGAAGCAACCCAGTGGCTAATCGAGTTGTAAAATTTTCAAACCGTAAGTATTAGGTTGATATTGGGTTACTATAATTTGAACTCAATCCAATCTGATGAACCCGATATCCTTTTATTTTTTGAATTTAATGTGATTTTGAATTTCTATTAATATATATTAGACAATTACACTATCACGTACGCTCTTCATATACACATATTTCTAGTCTATTTACATCTCTGTATAATTCATTCGTATATATGTTCAATAACTGTAAACATGTATATGTAAATTGAGAAAATTAACTGAATGTGATATACGCAAGAAGTATGGACAAGTTGTATCAAATGGTTGATGATGAAAAAAAAATTATGAGTAGATAAATAACATATTAAATGTTAGAAGAATATTTTAGTGTACCAAAGTATCAACCGACCAACCCGTACGGTTTGGGTTGGGTTGGGTTAAGATTTTTCAAACCGCAAGCATTGGATTGAGTTGTTCGAATGTCTTCAACCGATCAACCCAACCCATGAGCACCTCTATCACTAATAACGTCAGCAAATAATACTGAGTTGGATACTACATCAGCATGATAACCAGTTAATACTTCAACCGGTTACCCGGGTACTTAAATGTTTAAAACTTTACATCTTAAGTACCAAAATGAAAGTTTAAAGTACGTTACTTTTTCATGCAATTTATCTCTATATAACAGATAAACCGACAATTGCTAAGCAGATAAAATAGATAAATTTCAATTGAAAAATAAACTTACTTGTATAGGTAGGAGGCAATCCCGAGGATGACACATAACAGTATGATATCAATACAGAAGTTTCGCTTTGATCTCAACTGAAACATTTACCACACACGAGATTTAAAGGGGTGTTTGGCAGTTGCTGAATGATTAAATGGCTCCCATGATATAATACAAAATGAAATATAATTGTTTGATAATTATTAACAATGAAATAAGGACGTTGAATGGTTAAGGGAGACCCAAGATACAAAATCATTCAGAGGGTTTTAGAATCATTAAGAGACAGACTTTCTTTTTACCAAACAATATTTACTTCTTAACGATTCAGAGACTATCTCTTAATAAAACTATCAAGGGGTAAACAAACAATCTTTAAAATTATATAAAGTAATAAACTCACAAGTGGTTACCTTTATCACCGTGTCCTTCAGTCTCATGTTGGTATTTCTCAGATCAGATGTGGCTCTGTCAACCTATAATTATATACAATCACTCCACCTTATTCATTTATATGCTTGAAAATAAGCAACCGTTTACTAAACATTTACCGGTAAGTGTTTATGGGTAAAATATAATATTATCGTTTACTTATCAGGTAAGATTTTTGTCCACCAAAACGGTATCCTATGCAACAATTTACCCGGTAAGCTCTTACCGTGGCAAGAGTCGTCCACCTCACTTACCGGGTAAGACTCTTGATCCTTGTTTCGCTCTTACCGGGTAAGAGTTTTGGTCCTTACCGGGTAAGAGTTTTGGTCCTTGCCATATTTATCCGATAAGGTAATGTGACTTGGTGTTCACTTACCCGAGTAAGCATCGGGTAAACAACCCCTAAATATACAAAACCACAAGGGTCATGTCCAATTGATTTAAGATTGGGCTTCAAAGGTCAAAAATGTCTGAAGGTCCCAGGGGTCGAATTCAATGAGAAATAAAAATCCTTTTATAGTCACGGAGGTTCAAATGCGGTAACTTTACGAATGGTCGTTATCGATTCAAATAACAGGTTAGATATCCAGGTTAAATAAAATAAATAAATAAATAGAGAGGACAATAATATATTTTACAACATAACATACTTTATTATCAACTTCATCCATCAATGGTAATTGTCTGTCAACTTCCTGCACAATTAAAACATGTGGTTTTTATTAAATTCATTAATTGATATGCAAATTGTATGGAAAAAATAACTTATTTTAATTAGATTCTTATTTTGGGTAACATACTTTTAAAACTTTCATTTAAATATTTAAGTATCTGGGTAACCGGTTGAATCATTAACTGGTTACCATGTTCATGTTGCGAGTAATGTGGTATTTAACTTAATATTATTTGCTGACATGGATATCTTAATCTAAAATTGGTTTTTATGTATTGTGGTTTATTAGAAAAAGAGTTAATGTTTCAACCGGTTACTCGGGTACTTAAATGTTTAAAACTTTACATCTTAGGTACCAAAATGAAAGTTTTGAAAGTACGTTAATTAGAATATGAATCAAGTTAAGATACGTTACTTTTTCATGCAATTTGTCCTTATTGATATATAAAATATCGAATCATGACGTAACTAAACCTCGTGTATGTCTTGAGCCATGTTTTTCAGAGTACCGAGTCCTTTTGCTATCGCATCCAATCCTTCATCCTATAAACATTGCAAATATTGGTTAGAAAACAAACGTTATTAATTAAAAAATGTAAGAGATCGATCCCGATACTTCTAAGTAGGGGTGCTCAAAAACCCGACCAACCCGATCAATCTAACTCAGTCCGAAGCAACCCGATGTCTAATCGAGTTGTAAAATTTTCAAAAACTGTAGGTATTGAGTTGAAATTGTGTTACTATTATTTGAATCCAACCCAACCCGGTGAACCCAATATCCTAGTATTTCTTGGATTTAATATGATTATTGAGTTTCTATTAATATATACATTAGACAATTACACTATTACGTACCATCTTCATATACACATATTTTCAATCTATTATATCTCTATATAACTCATTCGTATATATGTACAGTAATCATGAACGTATATATATAAATTGAGAAAATTAATTGAATATGATATACGTAAGATTTAAGAAGTATGGTAAGTTGTATCAAATGGTTGATGATGAAAATAAATTATTAGTAGAGAAATAATATATTCAAGATTAAAATGATATTTTAATGTATCAAATTATCAACCCGTACGGTTTGAGTTGGGTTGGGTTGAGTTAAAAATTTTCAAACCGCAAGCATTAGGTTGAGTTGTTCAAATATCTTCAACCTGATCAACTCAACCCATGAACACCCCTACTTTTAAGTAGATAGACATTTTTTTTTAATTTCTCTCGGGATTTAGTTTTGGTATATTCTAATTAGTTCAAATGTTTTTTTTTTACTACAAATAATTAACTTAGAAAATTAAAAAGAGTTGTGTCTACCTGTCGTAATCTACGCATTTCATATTCTTGTCTAAAGTTACTGGTGTCGTCGGTATGCTGATAATAAGCGTCGTCGAATGTTCCATCTGGTATTTTATTATTCAGTATTAGAAATAAGAAAAAACATCGATATGGAGTCACGATAAGATGACATAAATGAGTGCGTTCAAGAATCATTACCAAAGGTCGAGTCAAATCTGATTCTTCTATTCGAACTTGACGATTCCAAACCTTCAGTTGGTTGAGCTTTGCTTGTTGCTCCATCGGGCACAACTTCGATCCTCTCTTTAAGTGCTAACACCAATTCATTCCGAGCCTCGAACTCGTCTTTAGAAAGCCCTTTGACCTACAGTACGTTTATCAGTTGTTTATTAGTGAATCAGATTAATTGTACTGTAAATTTATTTTAATTTCCTCAGAGTCTGTAAAATTTTCAAGTTTCCGGCTTTTAAAAGATCTTAACTTTATGTCATGTTTATTCTTTTTTATTAGCGATGGAGATATAACAGCTTGCGCATAACGCTGCCTCATCTTGAACCCGTCTCGAGATCATGACATATGTGAGATATTAACAAAAGACTTTGTCGATATAAAAAAAATGCATAATTGTATGCTTGTAATATTGTTATTAATATTAATTACATTATTTTTGTCTGATTTTAATCAAATCAGATAATTTAATACGTAAAATATCCAAAATGTAGCATTTTCATAAAACAAACCGTTAACTACTTTCATTGTTGTTGATTATTCATGTACGAAGATAAAAAAAATAATGATGTGATAGTATTTATATTAAAGTACAAAAAAAGTTCAGTTGCAAATCTGATTTTCGTTGTTAAACGGAGAACAACTTAGAGCACGACACGTGTCCCCATTCGTCATGGATAATAATCGTAATTTTTTTACGACAATCATGATGAATGTCCCGGACAATACGCTATCATCGATCTTCTGATTTACAATGGAAATCAAGTTTGCAACCGAACATGTCCAAAGAATATGAATATATAATTGTGGTGGAGGAGTTATAGAGGTGTGCGAAATCCGGATGGTCCGAAATATGAACCTGAACCAAAAATAAGTTGTTTCTGCAAAATCCGAATGTCCTAAAATACGAAAATGAAACCTGATTTTTGGGGGTATTTGGGTTTCTGGTTGGGTTTGGTTTTTTGCACCCGACCGGTCCAAAAGCCCGATACATAGGACATATTCAAATGAGAACGTTAACTATTTAAGAAAAACCAAAAAATGGTCGTTCATGTACAAAATCATATATGATTTACGTACAAAATCATACATGATCCGGGCAACTTTGCCGCAACTTAAGTCGCATGGCAAAGTCGGCTGGTTCTATTTTTTTGACGTTAATGTAAAGTCACGTGTGATTTTATACATGAACAACATTTTTTCTTGTTTTTCATAAATAATTAGCATTATCGTTTGAATTTTCCTCTTCTCCCACTCCCCCTCTCTCTCTACATATATACACATATATATTGAGTTCCGGTGAAAATAAGAGTTAAAGTGAGAAGCGTAATAAAAGATCTCCACCCTTAAAAGCATGTTAGAATGAAATGCACTGGATCAATCCCCATATCAAACGCGATTCGTAGATGGATTTGAAATTAAATGTTATCAAGGGTTCAAGGCTTTATTTATGTATCCAAACTGAATCTGAAACAAACTGAAATTCAAAACCCAAATTTCAAGGCTTTATTTATGTATCCAAAATCCGATCTGATTTTTAGTTTTCCCGCCAGAACCCGCAGATGCACATACGAAAGAGTTGAACCTTTTTGAAAGCTAAACGTTGTAATTTGGGAAGTTCTTCAAGTAACCGAGCTTTAGTCCGCCGGATCTCGGCATTCAGCGCCACCGCCGTCGCCCTGTTTTTCTCCGCCGCAGCTACCTCAGATTTCTACACAAATCAAAAGGTAAAGTACATCAGAAACAACACGACGTACAAGATGATGATTGAGTAATTTGCTATCGTTACGGTTTAAGGACCTCTAGAGCTTGATCGAGGTCGGATTCAATGGCGGTGTAAAGACCGGCAAATGCATCGTTGCCGTAAATATTCTTATTAGCTTCCTTTTGCTTGTCGATGTCGTACTTGTCGTACTTCTTGCATATCGCATCTACTCTCGTTATCAAATCGATTACTCCCATCTATATCTGCAGTAACTTCAAAGTGATTCTGGAATTCGATTTCGATTTCGATCTCGATCGTATCTCTGTTATATACCTATATGTGCAGAATTTGAATTGAATCGAGTTTGATCGTAAATCGATTTTCTCTCTCTAAATCGTAATTTTGTTCTCTCTGTGTGTGTATGTCTCTGTAAGTAATGGAGTTGAGGGTGAGGACAAAGCCGGCAACAGGGCGGAGGATGGGGAGGAAGACGACGGAGAGAACGAAGGACAGGTTCTCGAGGTGAAAGTTTCATTTTCTACCCTAGTTTTTTGTTTTTTACAATTTCGTCCCAAACGGGGCTAATAACTTGAATAAACCACACATGTTACATGAATATTATTATTAAAGATGACCAAATTGGCACCGGCTCGCTCTGGAGTCTGGACCAATTGGGATTGGTTACGGCCCAATGGTCCAGTACCATTTATAAATTTTATAAAATTTTAAGGCTCAACCTCGGTTTTGGATCAGTTATATATAAAATCTTGTTAACCAAATGTTTAATACAAAATATATGGCAAACAATAACTTTCGGTTAGCAATTATCTCAATCAAAAATCTAACTCCAGTCATTATTTATCTCAGTCAGCTTTTACCCATAAATTTTGATGAACAACCCTTAATCAATAAGTGTTTGGATAACCAGCCGTTTGTAAACAATATTTATTTTACCTTGAAAATATTTTTTTCCTAAATTTCAAACTAAAATTTACATATTTACCCACCATCAGTTAACATAATCTGTTTATTGTATGCCTACTTTCGAAGGGCATTTTAGAGAATAGATACCACCATAAATATATTTCACTTTCCATTATATGTAGAAAATTGAAGTAATAACCAAATCGGTTTCGTGGTGTAGTTGGTTATCACGTCAGTCTAACACACTGAAGGTCTCCGGTTCGAACCCGGGCGAAGCCATCTCCTTCGTCGTTTTTCATTCGTTTTAAACCACCGGTTCGACCCATCAATTTGTTCGAAAGTTGAACCGTATCAAGATTGGTTTCGTGGTGTAGTTGGTTATCACGTCAGTCTAACACACTGAAGGTCTCCGGTTCGAACCCGGGCGAAGCCATCTTTTTCGTTCTTTTTGTTCGTTTTAGACCACCGGTTCGAGCCCTTTAATATTCCTAAAAGTCGAAAAGATACCAAAAGCGGTTTCGTGGTGTAGTTGGTTATCACGTCAGTCTAACACACTGAAGGTCTCCGGTTCGAACCCGGGCGAAGCCATTTCTCGTGTGGTTTTTTCTTTCCTTTTTTGTCAATGGATAGTTTCCGGTTCGAACCTGGTTATGTTTATTATTTTGGCGGCTAGATGGCAAAAGCAGCCAGCCGACGAGACCCACCAATTCACTTTCAATTTTCAAACTTGTACTGTACAACACAGTCAATGACAGTACTCACATTCCCCCTGAACTATGGCCATCAAATTCCTTCTTTTTGACTCGATGTTCTTTCTCCCAACCCTTTTTTCCACCGAAAATCTTCCTCTTTTTTATTAAAATTAAACAATTCAAAATCAGTGGTGGGATTTTATAAACAAAAACCCTTTACCCTCGTCGCTTCACTACACCCCCTTTCATCGCCGTTTTCATCAAGACAGAGAGCTTCTTCTTCCTTTTCAGGTAATCATGGGTTGGGTGTTTATGAAACTTATGATTCTTTTGTAAATTGTTTTCTGGGTTTTTGAAATCTTGTTGAAATATGAGCTGGGTGTGTTAAAATCAAGGTATTTATTGGGTAATTGTGGTTGGGTGTTTAGAGAATTTATGTTTCTGTTACAAATTGCTTCTGGGTTTTTGAAATCTTGCTGAAATATGAGTTGGGTATGTGTTTAAATCAAGATAGAGAGCTTTTATTAGGTATTCATGGTTGGGTGTTGTGTTTATGAAATTTATGTTTTTTTCTTTTCAATTGTTTATGGGTTTTGGAAATCTTGTTGAAAAAAGAGCTGGGTATGTGTTCAAATCAAGGTATTTATTAGGTAATCATGGTTGGGTGCTTATGGAATCTATGTTTCTTTTATAAATTGTTTCTGGGTTTTTGAAATCTTGCTGAACTATGAGTTGGGTATGTGCTTAAATCAAGATAGAGAGCTTATGGAATTTATGTTTCTTTTTGTAAATTGTTTCCGGGTTTCGGAAATCTTGCTAAAATATGAGTTGGGCAAGTGTTTTCATCAAGATAGATACCATTTTTATTAGGTAATTATGGTGTTTATGGAATTCATGATTCTTCTGAAAATTGTTTATGGAGTTCTGAATATTTGCTAAAATATCAGTTGGATAAACCAGAAGGGTGGTGCCTGATTGGTTTGAGCTTGTCTCCAAAGGTCAAAATACCAGGAGGTCCAGGTTCAAATCTAAGGAGGAATAAAAATCCCCTTTGGCCACGGAGGTTCAAATGCGGTGACTCTGGGAGATCTGCAAAGCGGGTGGTCGCTGGGATTACTCGGCTTGCATAGTGGGTTGGATATCCAGGTTAATCAAAAAAAAAATCAGTTGGGTATGTGTTCTCATGATGACAGAGAGCTTTTATAAGGTGATCATAGTTGTATGTCTATGGAATTTATGATTTTCTTTTTTGATTAACATGGATATCCAACTCGCTATGCGAGCCTACTAATCTCAGGGTTACCATCTGCTTCGCGGTTAGCGGACGTGGAGTCACCGCATTTGAACCTCCATGGCCACAAGGGGATTTTTATTCCTCCTTGGGTTTGAACCGGGGACCTGGTCCCAGACACTTTTGACTTTTGGATCCCAAACTCAAACCAATCGGACGCCACCCTTGTGGTTGAATTTATGATTTTTGTGTAAATTATTTCTGGGTTTTGGAAATCTTGCTGAAATATGAGCTGTGTTTTTGTGTGTTCAACTCAAGATAATTTATTAGGTGATCATGGTTGGGTGTTTATGGAATTCATGTTTCTTCTGTAAATTGTTTCATGTTTTTTTTTGAGATCTTGCTGAAATATGAGCTGGGTATGTGTTTTCATCAAGATAGATACCTTTCTATTAGGTGATTATAGTTGGGTGTTAATCGGTTACCATGCTAATGTGACGAGTGATGTGGTATCCAACTCTGTATTATTTGCTATTCAACCCAATTTCATCTCATCACTCGCCACATCAGAATGGTAACTGGTTAATGCTTCAATCAGTTACCCATGTACTTAAATGTTTAAAACTTTACATCTTAGGTACTAAAATGAAAGTACGTTACCCAAAGTAGGAATCAAGCTAAAGTACATTACTTTTTCATGCAATTTGCCCTTTTAGAAATCTTGCTATAATATGATTTGGGTATGTGTTCTTTCTACAGTTTTGCTTATCTATACTTGGTGGGTAACTCTCATATATGTGTATTTAGGTTGTCAAATGCTTCTAGGTCAAATGTTCTTGATTAAAATTTCCAACAAATAATGTTTAATTTTTGAGATTTGTGTTCTGAAATTTGTATGTTCTTTGATGATTTTGCCGGATGATTTCAAAATATGAGTTGGGAAACCATCTTATTGCAAGATTTTGGTGGACTAGTCTTATGTTTGTGTTCTTCGTGAAAATATGTGACTTTTATAGATTATTCTTCAAAAGAGCCTTTTAAAAAAAGGAAGGAGGTTCCAACATACATTAAGGAGAAATGGTACAAGTGTAACCGAACTCCCGCTCCAAGGGAGGGTAGACGGGACAAATTGCCCCCCCTCCCCGAGTGTTAAGAGGGGGCTAGACGAGTACGGATTGCCCTAGAGTGTCAAGTCCCTAGAGTAATACACCTTTTGCTCTGATATTATGTAAGAATATGTGAAACCCCATTAAATTACTCTCCAAAAAGTCCCTTCATCAATTGAATTTGCCTGATGAAATTTATGATTTTGCTGTCAAAATGCTCCTTGGGTTTGAAAATTTTGGGTGTATTTTTGAGTTTTGGATAACAGCTGTATCCTTCTACGGAAAATATTGTTCTTTTAGGCCAACCTCATTGAAATCCTGGGATTTCAATCCCGGACTTTCCTTTAAGCCTAACATGGGACTGGAATGGAATCCAATTCCTAACCCCACCAAGGGTCCGTTTGGTTTACGGGATTGTTTTTGAAGGATTTGAATTTCATGGAGGGATTTGGGTTGAAACGGATTTGAAATCATTGGTGTGTTTGGTTTGTGGGATTTGGAATGGAATTGGATTCCATTATTTATAAATAATTAAATTACATTTTTATTAATCGATTATTACAAAACAAATGTTTTTAACATTTTTTAAAACCTTATTTCATACAATCTTACGAAATCCCGAGCACCCCCTAAGGATTTCAAAATCCTATTTGTAGGATTTCAAATCCGGACAATCTAATAAACCAAATATGAGAATGGAATGGATTTGAAATCCGAATCCCCCCAAATCCATTACATTCCTGCAAACCAAATGGGACCTAAGGGTTTTGAAATTCTTTGATGCATTTTGATTTAGGGCAATGGGTGTTTTCTTGTTTATTTCCATCATCTAAAAATTTGATAAAATCGTATGAATGAACATTCACGTTATATCGTTACTTTTTTTTTTTTCCGTTCTATGTATGCTACATGTTTGTTCACACTCTTGCACAAGCCAGGGGGTCTTCATGGAAGCAATTGTGCTACTCTTTTGGGTAAATGTCAGGTCTGCATACATCTCACCCTCCAAAAAGCCCCCAAAACCCTGCTTACGAGTGGGATTTACTGGGTCAGTTTGATTTTATACGAACAGATAAATGATGTTTAAATTTTACGATTACCGAATGATATTTGTCTTACGCGTTTTAGGGTATGAAAATGGGACCATGTTGAATATCATAGAAGATCACATGAAGCTATAAACAAGAAACAAAGAAAATAATGGGAGGTTGCTGCTCTTCATCTCGAAAATTTCAGCTCCACGGAACCCCCGTGTACTATTATGTGCGTATGTTTCCCGTTTACGCTTTAAATTACTTATCGGTCCCAAAATAAGTATCTACATTTCTATTTAATTTTGTCCCGGAATAAGGGTCCATTTTCATAATTAAGTGTCTACTTTTCAATTCTACCCTCAAATACGAGATGAAGAAATTTATTACTCCATCTATTATTAAGGGTAAAATTGTCATTTAGTTAATTAAAAAGTGTAGTAATTAGACATTTTTAAACCTGTGCCTTTTCATTGTAGATATTAAGGGAAAAATTGACTAAAATAGTCAATCCCATTAACCAATTTCATTTTTTAGCCACTTTTCAGAGCCTCTTCCCAAAATAGTTTGGTCTCCTTTTTTTTAATCCGGAAATCGAGTTTATGCAGGTGCGCAAGACATTTGGTAAACTCCGGCTAGAATTGGAATTTAATTAAAAAAATGGCTAAAAAGTTAAGTTGGTTGGGGAGATTGGCTATTTTGGTCAATTTCCCATATTTAAGGAAACATGCTCTCTACTCATTTAAGCAGAGGTCAGTTCTGCATATATTTTACCCCTCCCAGACTTCACCTCCGGGTGAAACATACCGAGTTCGTCTGGTTTGGTTTTATTTATCTTTATAACTCCATTTACAGTGTCCACCGGCTTTGGAGGAACACGAATCCTCGACACCCCACGATAGCGGTTTCCCGCCACGATTATTGATCGATGTAAACCTTGATACGTCGATTCCTGACACTTTCCGATCTCCCCCGAGACCGATCCCATTTGATGTCGTTTTAGGAATTTCACAATCGACAAACGCCAGCCCCGATGGGCAAGCGTTCGGTGATCTTGATTATCAAAAACCGACTCGCGTTGACCTAAAGGAATTAGATCGTGAAATCGAGCGTGACACCCCGTTCATCAAGTCCCCGAAGAAAGTCGAGGTTGGACTTCAAGAATCCAAATGTGTTGATGATTCAACAATGGAGGAAGAGGAAGTTTGTCCCACTTGTTTTGAAGGTAATTGGATTTCTAGATATGCATTTTGACTTTTCAGGTCAAACTAGCATTCGGTTCTTCCCGTTATTTAGTCCAATTTTGATCTTGAAATCGATTCAAATATCATAGATTTTAACCTCAGTTCGTTTACGAGTTGATGTAATTATCGGTTTTTTCATAACCAAAACGGAACTTGTCGATTTCGAAGTCAAAATTTGACACGTTTGACTCTTGGAAAGTCAAATAAAGGTTGTATTTTTTTCGGAGTTTTTGAAAGTTGTTGATAATCAGACATCGGTGTTATGCAGAATACGATGCGGAGAACCCTAGAATCGTAACGAAATGTAACCATCGGTTTCACCTTTCGTGCATTCTCGAGTGGATGGAAAGAAGCGACACTTGCCCGATATGCAGTCAGGTATTCTCCTTTTACTCTAAATTCATTCGGCTAACCGGCCCAATTATGCCAATGTTGGATAAAACGTAATTTCAGAGTAACCCATACCAAAACCGAAATGGATCCGACCGTTCAAAGAAATATAATGATCGTAGGATATAAGTAGAGATGCACAAGGCCCGAGCTTTTCGGGTCTGATTGTGAGTTTTCCAAGCCCGTTTTCATTAAGCAATAAAAAGCTCAGGTTGGGATTTTGGATGTGAAAGTAGGCCCGATCAAGCTTTTTCGACCCGTGCTTTGAAAAAGAAGTTGCTCTTAGGTCGGAATTTAAGGCCATGGTTTCGGGACGGGTTTGAGCCTTTTTTGCATCTCTAGATAATTGGACTTTATGTTGTTGGTTTGGGTTCTATTTGGACCACTTCGGTCCGGTTTCTCGAATTTAACAACGTTGACTTGATTGAGACGTTAAAAAAAGGCAACTACATTACGACATTAAAACCGTTCTAACAAGACGACATCGCCTACTTGCAACAGGAAATGGATTTCGAAGCTCGATAACACTCTCATTCAAAAAGAAATTGAGATCGATCACGAGGGCCACGAAGATTTGTCCTTGGTGTCTTCTTATTGCGTTTGCCCATTAATAGAGATTAAGGCGAACATTTAATTCTAGCCTCTGTGTTACAGAGGCTAAAAGTAAACGTCTGTTTTAATCTCTATCAGAATCTTGTAGACTGGCTGTATAAATTAATTAATACATGTTATTGCCTCGGGATATCATTGTTGGTTCAGTGAAAACTAATTACCGACACGTTGGTGGTCTCGTGTATGTAGAATTGAACGGAAATGATGTATAAAGGTGTATCGTCATTGGATTGTCTTGAATCGGTATAAGATACAACTTTTATTGAATCGTGATCCTTTTTTTAAGTAACATAATATAAAATATTGAACCAATAAAATTTAATATTTTTATTTAAATCAATTATGGAAAATTTATTAATTCTAACTAAATAAATATATAATTTGGTTTCAGATATTTAATATTGTACTCATTTTGTCTGGTAATATGTTAATCTTGTAATAAATATATAACTGGTAACAATGCAAGTCGAGTCTTAGAGTGGAGCCATAGGGGTTAACGTGGCGGCGAACCCAAGCCTTGACGTTATAACGAGTTATTTAGAACCATGATCTTGGTTCTTCTCATTACTGCAGATTTTCAATTATAATTGATCAAATGATGGAGATTCGTTCTTACTTTTTTACGATAACTTTCATTTTTAGTGGAACCCGACTCATAAGTCAAAATCATTATAGAAATAACAACTTTTGAAATTTTATTACATTAATTGAGAAAATAAAGGGTGGTATATACCATTTTCTATATGTTTTATGTGTGTGTATATATATATATATATATATATATATATATTATATGTATATGTATATATATATATATTATATGTATATGTATATATATATATATATATATATATATTATATGTATGCATAATGCATTTGTGTAAGTGGTGGACCCAATATTTTTGTCGAGCAGATGCACCTTTAAGGTGGATCAAAGGCTCACAAAGTCATCCGATGCGTTTTAACCAAATTACACTGTTTCGAATGATTCTGAAGGATTTTCAGGTTTTTTGGTTGATTTTGAAGGACTTTTACAGGGGATTTGGTTGATTTTGGGGTACTTGTTTTGAATTTTTTTTGTTAACGTTTTTTTATCTTTTAATATCCCAAAGCACCCCTCGAAGTTTAACGGGTACACTTTTCATATCTCAAAAAAAACCCTACTTGCTAAAACAAGTTGAGCAGGTGTTCGGGAGCCTGCTCGAACACACATATTTGTGCACAAATATGCAATATTCAATAGATTCCGGTTAACGTTGACGGAATAAGAAACCATGTTGTTAAGAGATTCTCAAGTTTGAATGAAGAAGTGAAAATAAGTAATCCAGGGGGACCAAAACTGCACATAGCAAGCTTTTTGTGGACCGGTTTTTCAATATTATTACACGAGCAGTCTAAATGATTTTTGAGTAAATTACATATTTGGTCCCTGTATTATGTTGAAAATTATGAATACGGTCCTTAAACTTCATTTATTATAATATGAAGTTTTGGTGGTATGCAATTTCTTACAAGTTGGTTTCTCTGACTAACACCATCCATGCCTAACCGTTTAGTGGAAGCTTCTGCCCTTCACTCTGAACACCGTCCTCAATGTCGATCATCGTATTTATAAAAAACCTGAAAAGAAAAACCGTTGAACTATGAAAATACGGTTTATATATATGATTTGTGGCTTCGTTCTCAGTTCTTGATTTTATAGGATCTGATTTTGGGGGTTTATTAGTTCTGGAGGTTTTAGTTTGGATTTAGGTTCTTTTTCTCCTCGTCTTCAAGAACAGCAATAAATTTATGCAAATGAATTCAAATTAAACAAAAAAATGTGCAAAATTTATGATACAAAAGTCAGTAAAAAAACCCTAATTCTAAGTAGAAATAAAGAAAAAACTTACAACAAGAAACCTAAATGTGACCAACGGGTATTTGGCCTAGCGGTATTATAGGTTTTAGCGTTCTAGGAAGTCAGGGGTTCAAATCTCACCAAATGTGAGAAAAGTGTGTGAGTTTATTTGTTGTAAAAAAAACCTAACTGTGAATTGAAAATAGTGTACCATATCAAAATAGAAAAACAAATATATGTTTAACAAAAAACTGAATCCACATACATCTCAAAACACTAACCCAAAATGCTTCGACAATCCCTACATAAATCTGAATGTATCCCACGATCCCAAAATAGAATCGTAATTGAACCATTTAACAGCCAGCCTTGATAAAAAAAAATCCACTAATCCCTTAAGAAGCATCTTATCGTATCACTATCCTTACTCGCTTGTACAAAAATAATGCCAACGAAATACTGAATATTCTCTATAGAAAATAACGAACTTGGTGTTTATGACCAAATGGTCTATGGTCTAGCTGTATGCGAGTCTTTGCCATCCTAAGAAGTCAAGGATTCAAACATCATCAAAGATGAAAAAGATGTGTAAATTTATTTATTCTATTTACCATATATAAATATTATATGCCTTAAAAAAATGGTTTCTATGATATGTTGAAGGTTATGATTAGTGATTCATGTATCTTTTTCTCTTTCATGGTTTAATAACCCATTAAACTGATTATAAAAAATATATAATAATAATATTAAACGATTAATTTTTTAAAGTTATTTTTATTATAATGAAATACTACTTTGAAAACATTTAAAATGGACGAATTTGACAAACATAAATTTAAATGTTTATAATATTTTACTAGTTGTGTATCCGTGTAATGCGACGGGAGCCATAAATTTTAATGATTTTGAAGTTCCACTGGTTTTATAAAATAAGATTTAACGATGATATAAGTTACACTTGGTTTTTACATATTAATACAATTTGAATAAATAAGAGTTATGGTTTCAATTACAGACTATCGATGAAAAAATTTGTATGACAGTTTAAAATCCAATATATTTAAAATCCAACATATTTAAACGACTCCACAAATGTGTTCGATTTACACCAAGAGCAAAGAACCAAGAAACTTGAGTTTTAAGATAAACACTCAAAACCAATAAAGAAAACTACAAATTTGACAGATCATAAGCCATGAAAAGACAAAAAAAATGAGTTTTAGAATGAAATTTCAACTGTTTACCCTCTTTCTTGTCTAGAAACTCAGATTAAGGTTGAATTAATACATGTATATATATATTTCAAAAAAACCCAAGAACATATTAATTCAGAACATATTATACAGTGCAATTTGGGCAGCCTAACCCCAAAATATATAGTATATATATAGTATATATATATATATATATATATATAAATATAAAAGTATAAATTGTAAATATTAAAAATATTTTTTCACAATATATATATAATAATATAATTAAGTCAAAAAMTATTCAATATTGGACTTATTTCGAAGRTATTAACGAGACGATTATAATGGTGTAACTTGTTAAAATAAAAATGCATTTTTTAAACATGTTTTAATTGATATACGATTATGTATGTTAATTTGATAAAAGTTTAAAATGAAATATTTAAAAGTAAATGACGTAAAGTAAATTAATTTAAAAAAATCGGTTGTGAGAGGGTGAGTGTATGTGAGGAGATGAGAAGGTGAAAAAGTAGTATAAAGGGTATCTTGGTCATTTAATAATTTAAAACTTTAAGACTTTTACTACATTTGCTTAATAAGATAGTATAGATAAACTATAATAAATTATTTTATTTAACAACTTGAATTATTCTATAAACTACATATTTATATCATTGTACACGTTATTAAAATAGGCATGGCAACGGGGCGGTGATGGGGTGGGTTTTGTAATCCCCGGCCCCGGTCCCCGATGGGTACGACCTTACGGGTATAACATCCCGTCCCCGCTCAAATCTCAGATCGATCCTCGGTCAAATTCCAATCAAATCTCATTTAAAATATGCTTTAGTTTGAGTCTACCGGGGGATCCCCGGCCCTGAGACCCGTTTTAGTGATGAATCTTCGTCCCCGTTCGGATCAGGTGAGCTGGGTTCCCCACCGAGTCAGGACAAATCACCATTCTTATATTAAAACTTTAGTGTAAATTATTAAATTTTTATGAAAGACAAAAATAAACCATAATCTACTCCACCCACTCCTCTTTGGTTTACTTTTTTTTTTTTTATGGTACGTTTAGTGTTTAAACAAGATATGACAGAACAGAGAATGATAGAACATGACATGACAGAACAACTATTCAGCGTTTTGTAAGGCAAAACTGGATAAAATAAAACAAGTAAAATGATCAATTTACCTCTAATGAGTTCTTTATATATTTTGATCAATTTATGTAATTTATTACATTATAATAAAATAATTACTTTTATAACAAAATATATCATTATAAATTTTTTTGTCAAAACAATTAAAATGACACCAAAATAAAAGGCTTATATAGTTTCCATTTTTATTTTTATCTCTTTTCTACATTGTTTTTTTATTATTAATACATAACAAATTACGTAAATTAATAAAAATATAAAAAAAATGTATAAACATAATATTTTGAGGACAGTAAAATGAAAGTTTAAGAAACACAAAATACAATAAATAAAATTTTAAAAATGAATAAAATGTAAAAGAGAGACATGTTTGATGTTTTAAAAGAGATTTTCAATGTTATGTTGGTAAGATATAAGTCTGTTCCACCTTGTTCTATGAAGAAGGGGTGGAACAAGCATGTTCCACTTTTTTTCTTGTCTGTTCCACATAAAAGTCATGCCAAACGTGAAACAGAGATACATGTTATGTTATGTGATGTCTTGTCTAGTGTATCAAACGCACCCTTAGTACATATTACTAAGCTTTAAGGGTGTTTGAAATTGCTTATTTAAAACAAGTTATGTTTTTTTTTTTTTGTAAAAGTGTTTATCAACTTATGTAGTATCAAACCGGAGTTTTATAAAGTGTTTGGATTAGCTTATGCCAGTACCAAAATGTAATAAGCTGATAAATATTTCTTTCTTCTGCATCCAAACGCTAAAAAAACTCCTTATTAGCGGTACGGTACCGAAAATAAGTGAATAACTTAGAAAATAGTTCCTTATCAAAAACTCTTTATTACCGGTGTCAAACCGATTTTACAGTATAAATAATTTTTTTCATCCAAATACTAAAAACTATTTATTACCGGTAACACACTGGAATAAGTTAATAAGCACTTTAAACAAGCAAATCCCAAACACCCCTTAATAAAGTTGTTCAGTGATATAAATATGTATTAAAAATAAGAGAAAAAAACAAACTAAAAATACCATATT